AATATTTACCTAAATACGTAATTTCAGTTTCTTACGACTTTTTGTTTTGGAGCTAAACTGTTCACATACACACATACCATTTTGTGGGACTCTTAGACATACCATTTTGACTGACGGGACCCAGAAACTTGTGTTTCCGTTGAAAACTCAGGTTCGAAAGTTTTCACGATCGCAATACATTACATACGGTATATATTACGTACATAGGCAAGTGAAAGTAAAAATAAACGAAAATGTGAAGTTTGCTATTATTGTTTGATATTATTAAGATATTAAGTACTTTGAAGTCTTAATTTAATTTACTTAATAGTTTGAAGACTTCTATTTACTTTTTCTAAGACAGATGAAACTCGTACAGGTTCTTCACCAAAGTTATTTTTGGATCCTTACTGTATTTGCATCGATCTGATGCGGTCAGATGTTGTTTTAGCACCAACGATTTCTAGTCCCGCCATTATCATAGGCTCGAAGTCTTCAGTGAACCTCTGAACATCAGAACTCCAATAATCTTCTAAACCAGCGTCGATTGCTGTAAGTGTTTAGAAAATTGGAAGAATTTTGTTTATGTAGTCTTCTATACAATTGGAATTCACCAACTAGACCTTTATAATTTTCTGCGTAACGATAACACTTTAACACTAACGATAACGTTTGGCATCAAAATCATTTTTTATGTTTTGAGGAAAGCTGAACACTAATCCAAAGGCAGAAAATCTCTATCAAGCAGCAATTCATGTTAAATTTGTGTTATGGGTCAAAAACTGGATTTTTTTATTGACATTTTGGGCATCTTTTATCATTGGGATTTAATCGAAAAATTAAAAAAAAATATTTGAGTTTGAAGACATTACAATTTATTACAGTATGAAAAAATTATAATAAAACAAACAAAAGAGCTACAAATTACAAAGACATTGTTAAAGAATTGTTTTAATCATATTACGCCATGGTTTTCAACATGTCTGATTTGTATTTCTTCCCTTTCAACATGGGAGCAGTTTCAGATGAACACGGAAAAGTGTTTCATCAAGATATAGCCCAAATGGAGAAGAGTACACGATGGGCCAGACCTCCCCCCTACCATGGATTTCCCTCTCCCCTCATTCCTATAAATTTTATATCGTTGTAACTATTTATTGAAAAAAATCCAGTGTTCCCACAAAAAAAAAAAAAAAAAAATGAACGCACTGCCCCAAAATGGGATCCAAATATGGCGGACTGACGACTTTGACTTTAGTTAGTTTTTTGGTCACTGAGAATCAGCATTTGGCTTAAGTTTGTCATATTTAGTCTTTTATTAAAGCTGGATAGTCAAAAAATAAGAAAACACGAAAAAATATTAAAAAATAATTGGCTTAGGCAATGAAAAACACCAGTAAAGTAAATTTTTTTAACAACAAAATTTTCAAGTTGAAAATAAACCGTCGTTTGTTATTAAACGGCCAACAATAACGAAAAACGTGCTGAAATAAAACATCTGGAGAATATATTTCCCTTTATAAAATACTGATTAAAATATCCACAATGAAATGTAAATAAATATATCCTCTATAATTTTTAGTTTCACTTCCCTTTGTCTGAAAATATTTAAATCTGCTAAGTAGTGGTAAGTGACTGGTGGTAAGTGAAAATCGTGTGATGCGCGCACCATATTTGTTTGTTCAAATTTTTAGTTTATGATACACCAATCTATTTATTATAACTACATATTCTTAAAAATCTACAATTTATAAACATTTTAATATAAAACAGTATATATACATACAACACAACGTTTAAAGATTAATTTTTTAGAATTTTTGGTAAACCTTATGTATTGTGTTGTGTTTTATATCTGTTTGATCATATGCACTTTATGTCATCAATAACCTGTCTTATATTATTCCGTTATGTAAATTTTTATTCATTTTAAGATTTTGAAGGAAGCGTCAGAGAGGAGATGAGGTTTGCTGGGATAAGGGTATATCACTTTTTACAACCAGAAGACTAAAATTGAAATAAAAAAATTATTTAACGAAAATTTACATCAAGTGCACACAAAAATTGTAAATGAAGTGAATGAAATTTTCGAAACTTGAAAATGTTACGCAAATTTCATGTTTATGTTTTCAATAACCTCTGCCTTATAAGAGTCAGTGAAGTAATCATTTATTTATGTTATTATTCTGAAGGAGTAGAATACATAGATTTAGGAATGGCTATAAATAATAAGTTATATAAATAATTAATAAATAAGTGAGCTAGAATGACATGAGTCTTTTATTGCCTACGCCAGTGTCGCTTATGTGCATTTTCTAACAAAATATTTCGAATAAGTTAAAAATAAATCAGTGGTTTAGAAAGATAAATACATTTTCCAGATGTTTTATTTCAAGACATTTTTCGTTATTGTTAGCCGTATAATTACAAATGACGCTTGATTTTCAACATTAGTTTGAATGACTTGAAACAATTTAATTCACTTGTATTTTTTATCGTAAAGGCCAATTATTTTTTTTATCTTTTTGATGTTTCATTGTACAGCGGCTATCCAAATTTAATAAAACACTAATTATGACGAACTTAAGCTAACTGCTGAATCTCAGTTTCCGAAAAACTAACTCAAGTCAAAGTCGTCACTCAGTTATGTTTGGACGCCATTTTGGGACAGCGCAGCAACTTTTTTTGTGGGAAAATCTGCCTTTTTTAAAAATATATAGTTACAGGGAACACAACGAAATGCAATTTATAGTGATGTGGAGGGAGAATGAACGGAAGGGGGGTCTGGCCCACGGACTCTCTTCCATCAAATATTTCCCCCCTCTATTATTCCTTCTTCAAAATATTCAAATGAATAAATATTTATTTTGCTGATTCATATCAGACAGGTTGTTGAAGATTAAAGACAATTTAATATGGCCAAACATGAAAAATAATTTAAATTAAAAATAAAGTTTTCAAAAATTTGAAAATCTGTATCTCGTAAACTATTTGATTTGCTCAGCCTGTTTTGGTGTTAAATTTTAGCATATTTAATCTAGTTTAAAAATGTACTGAATGTTTTCGTCGAAAACATGCTCCTTTGTGGATATAATGGAGAACAACCGAAAATATAGCAGTTTTTGGAACATAAAAAAGTGATCTGAGGGAAGGGAGGTGATTTAAAACTAGGATTTTGCATCTCAGTCATATCTCATACAATTAAATAAAAAGAAACATTCTACCCTCATTCAATGAATACTTACGATGTACAAGGTACTGGGCTATAAATGCAATAAGAAGATGCTTGTTTTGACTACTGTTGGACAATGCATTGGGAGACAGTTGATAAATACTATTAAAGGAGAAAATATACACATTGAGTAGACATAAAGTTTATATACTAACGTTTCTAGGATTAAATATTTTATATAATATTATTATTATCTGTTAGAAAATAAATAAATAAATGAAATAATAAAAAATATATTATTTCAGTTTTTTTTCTAAAACAACCTTCATTTTCTCAAAAATGGTGCCTTATAGAATTTTTCGATTCAGCACAGTGCAATCTTTTTTTTTTTTTTTTTTGCAGAATAGTGTAATCTTCTAGTAAGCCTTTTAGTTTCATCATTTTCTGATCTCATAACAAACTCTATAGATTTTCAGCAGTTAAAAACATTTCCATTTGTTATAATTTTCTTGTCCACCTTCTGATCCTAGGCCAATTTAGTGAACTATTCATTATATTTCTTTTTAATGAAAAATCTCACGATAAAGATAAACTTCAGAAACTCGTAATTTATGATAAACGCAGGATTCACTACTTAAACGAACTCTGATTCTCATTAACTGGGCTCTCAAGAATTATTGGTTTCATAGATATAATGATAAATCGAAATCGTTTAAAAAATCAAATTTTATTCATTGAACAGATAAAAAAAATCTGGTGTGTCCACTCACACGACTGTACCTATGTACAGAAACAGAAGAAATAAAAAAGAATTGAACTAGATTAATTTTCCTGAAAATTGATCTAAGATTTGAGCACAATTTATTTGATAAACTTAAGCAATTTAAACCGGCTTAAGGTAGATCGCTGTAAATTTCTATTGAAAGTAGAGGAAATAGTAAAGCTTGTGTGATACGGGCAACAGATTTTCTTACTTTCACTTAGTCATCTTTATTCTCTCATTCACCCCTTTCTGACACCACGATATGAACCCGTAATATTACATTGGAAATTCAAAAGCTGTAACTTCGTTAATAGTTGTCCGAAATGAACGATTTTTATATAGTTTTGTTGGTAATTTAATTACCTTTCAAAATTTTTATTATAAATTTTACCGTATAATATATATTTAGGGAGTTTGGCCCCATAACATTTTTTTTCTTTATAACTTTTTTTTTGAATTTTTTCAGGAATTCAGTCTATATACGAAAATTGAAAGGGCAATTATTAGAACATTATAGAAAAGTTTCATCAAAATCGATAGAGCCATTTTCGCGCTACAATCTATAGAAAAACATGTTTTTCATTTATTGTACGCAAGCTATTGCCCATGGAGCATCGAATTTCTGTCACAGGCATTTGTAGTCAAAACCCTACAAAATAAAAAAAGAAGCAACAAAATCGGTTAACTAGGTCCCGAGAAAATATCGGCACAGACAGAGAGACAGACTAATGGCTAAAATGTGTTTTTTCGGACTCAGGGGGCTCTGAAACGTATAGATCCGTCGAAAACTGCATGTTCCTAGTATAGGTAGGAAATTAAAAAAGGGGTCTTGTGTTCAGTACTGAATAAGGAAGCAATAGAACATTTATAAAGCTTAGAAATAATCTAACATATGTTAAATATAAAATAAATAAATTATTTTTCCAAAACAAAAAGACACTGAAAAGTTGGGTTTTATGGTTTCAAATATAGTGTCAATATAGGGGTGAAAATATCAGGTCTGTGTAAAAATTACCTAAACCGTCACCTGGAGATTGTCCTTTTTAGTCCTGAAATCCTTAATTGTATACAGAAGAAGGAAGTGTTAATTAAATTTGTTTGTTGTGGCTGAACAGGGGATTGCAAACAGTCCTACGTTGGCGGGTGGATAGTAGAGTAGACGAAACCCCACTCTCTTGGCTCGCTGCAGCTATTCCTTCGCCAGTCTATAACCCGGAGTCCAACTCATCTCATCCCAAGTAAGTGTATTTATATATTATTTGTTATATATTTTTAATATATTTATGTATTAATTATGCATACAAAAATACTTCTAGACGAATAAAACATAGCAATAGACCAATAATGTGCTATAATAGCTGTTTTATTACTTAGGTTACCCTCTGTCAAGGACTGTAAGAAAGAATTTGATGAAGGTTAAGTCATTTTATTTAATAACACTTGATTCTTCAATTATTTAAAAAAAAAATCGAAGAAAAACATCGTTAATCGAAAGCGATTTCTACGTCAAATGAAATACATACCTTATACCTTTGCCTTTAATATTAAGAAGATTTTTAAATTGTTGCTTAGTTCAACTTACATAAACATAAGTATTATTTTTTATCATAATTGAGTATTAGCCATTTTTTTTTATTTTTGAAAATGATACTCTCATCATCAACGTTTGTGTATATAAAACATAAGACTAATAAGAAAGGGAGGTGTCTTTTTATGTATTGTTAAAATTTAAGCGTTGATATTAAATATAAACATTTATCACTACTGTTATTTTTATAAAACCGAATCAAAGTTAAAAAAATAATTAGATAGAAATAAAAATTATTAAATGATTAATATATGAAAGTTGTCCATGTATATTTACAAACATACATTTTGCAAACATATAAGAAAATATTTCAAACTATTAATAAAAAAAAAAAAAAATCATATATATGGAGTGATATACAATATATACAATTGAATATTTTCGTTTCAAATTTTAGTACATATATTTAATAATACATATTTAAGTAAATACTTTAATCAAATTACGGCTTCGATGCTCATATATTTATGGATGACAATTAACTAAATTTTCCAAAATTGAGTGATCAATATCATTAATGATTAAAAAAGATAAAAAATTATTTTCATAAACATTTCTGACGGACGGGATTTAAAAAAAAAATGTTTTTTTCTGTTTATTACGGTAATTAGATAAAAATAATAATAAATAAACCACATAAAATTAAGTGATTCTTGAAGGACTGTTAAAAAAAAAAAAAATAATAAAATAATTCTTTTGGGGGTAGGTTTTTATATTTTTTTCTTGATACATGCTTATATTTAGGTGATGTATATGCGTTATAATTTTTAAAAAATGCATATTTTGAGTATTATTTAGCTTGCAGAAACAAATACGGACTAATGAAAAATTTTTTTTTTCTATTTTTGGTACTCAGCTCGCAATCTCTCTCCGATTCCTCAGATCTCCATTGTTAGTGTGCATTGTTTCGAAGACTTTTTTTCAAATAGAAAAAATATTCTTGTATACTTTGAAGTCATTTCGATGTTGATTCTCTTAGCTTTAAATTTAATTTTGCTAACATTGATTTAAATATATAATTTCTGAAATGATTATAATGTAATAATGAATCTAAATCAGACCAATCGATAATAAAAATACTCTTTAATTATTTGGTTTTCGGTTGTGTATTAATGCAGCTTATTCAATTCACTGCAGCAGAAATATATTATTATTTCAGTTTTTTTTTTTTTACGGTTTTTACATAATTATCATTTATTTTTATATGTTGCATTAAATTAATTTTTTTTTTAAATTTTATTATTATAGTATTTAAATAATAATATGATTTAATTGATTAAATTGCAGAGAAGGGATAGATTTAGAAGACAACTCTGGTGGTTGGCCAGGTTTCATTTGATCAGCCTATTTTCATTTGGACCTGACCCCGAATCGGTTCAAGTATAGCTTACTCTTTGTCCGAGCGTAAACTATTATATTATAATAAATATATATATATATATATATATATATATATATATATTATTAAAAATAAAATAACAATCATATAAGAAATTTTAAAAATATCTGTTAAGTTAAATCGGCATAGCTTAAGGGATAAACATTCCTGAGATGAAAAACTGGATCACAGTATAATAGGGCTGCCTGGCACTCTGACATAAAAGTTTATTTTCGTTTTGTAATGGCAAAATAAACTCTTTAAAGAACACTACTGGTCTGCTTAATCTCTCACATTAAATTATTTTCCATTTTGTTACTAATAAAATTAATTAATTTTAATTTACAATGATATTTATATTTTAATAAACTTTAGAGAAATAATTGCAATAATCAAGATGTATAATTTTATTACTGCGATATTTTACTTAGCTATACATTTATACATTTTAAATATTTCATTACCAGGAAATGATAAGTTAAAAAAATAATAATGATGATAAAAATATTTTTTTAACTAAGAAAATATTTGATACAACTACGGAGTTCATAAAATTATAGATAACTAAATATGAAGGATAAGCACAAGGGATGCTTTCGGACTTAACCCCGTCCCCCTCGAAAAAAATGGTAACATGTAACCATTTTTTACGGTAAAAAATATAAAAGAATTATCTCTTAAAGTATTATCATTCGAGTAATTAGTAAGTTAATAAGACTTCCAGAATTACCTAAATACCATTTCATGTAGGTAGTTAGTATCTTTTTTTCTCCAAAATAATTATCGTTTTATATATATATATATATGAATGAAAAAAAGAGGTTTCAAGCTGAAGTCCCCTCCCCCTCCAAAAAAAAAAAATAAAATCCTGGATCCGCTGGTGAGGATAAGTGAGGGAAGAAGCGGATGATAGACTTTAAAAAAAAAAAAAAAAAAAACTATAATACTTATAAGTGTATTTAAAACGAAAATCTGTTGCATTTCTGCTAGCGTGTTAGAATACGAAAAAAAATAATAATAAACTGATTTTACTGAATGATAGAGCTTCTTCAAAATAGATATTTCTCTAAAATATAAATATATATATTTACTATTAAATCACTAGGCACATTTTAAGACAGGAAGGATCTTTGGAAATGGTTTAAAAGAATTTTATTATTTTATATTACAGGGTTTCCCTTAAGTAGAGGGATTTTTTTATATAAGTTATAGCAGATCTGGGGACCTACAAAAAATTTCATATAAGAAATGTACCAATTTTCAGCAGAAAAATATGAAAGAAAAGTTTTGTGATTTTTTAAGTCATGTTTTGTCTTGATTAAAAAGCAGCGACAAAAGAAATATTTACTTGAATTATTTATTTATTTGATGTTTTATTGCCTCCACCCTGTAGGGTCATTGGCAACGCCTTTAAATTACACTCTGTTGTAGAGTTTTATCAATTTTAAAAACCTTAAAGTTTTTTTTACTGCACTTTCACTGTCTTGTAGGTTTTCTTTTAGACTCTGTGCCATGTCTAACTTTTTCCTTGTAGGTTCAAATGAAGGGCAGTCTTGAATAATGTGCTTTACTGTCCTTTGGACATTGCAGTTCTTGCAGGTCGGAGGATCAAGTCCTCTTAGTAGGTAGGAGTGCGAGAACTCACAATGTCTAATTCGCAGTCTGCAAAGGGCTGTCTCCTCTTTTCGAGATGAACGGTGAGAGGTTTCCCATTTTAAACATTGGGGTTTAATTTCTTTTAATTTAGATTCTTTTTGTTCCCACTTGTTTTGCCACATGTTCCACACATTTTCCTTAATTTTTTTAACGCAATCCTCTAGGAGGATTTCATTAATTGATTTTACGGATATTGTATCTGGCTTTCTTGCCATGTTGGCTGCTTGATGAGCTTGTTCATTACCGATGATCCCGCAATGCGAAGGGACCCAAATGAACACTACTTCTTGGCCCTTCTCCCTTAGTAGCCACCAAACGTTTCTCACATCTTTTGCGAGAGTGGTTTTGGACCTGGTATGTTCAATGGCTAGTAATGAACTCATAGTCTGTCACCACTGCCCAATTGGTAGTTTCACTTGTCCCTATTTGTTTAAGAGCTTCTCTAATTGCTATCATTTCACCAGTAAACACTGAACAAGCCTCCGGAATTTTGAATAGTTTTTGAGTATTATAATTTATAACGGAACATCCTACTTCCTTATCTACTTTTGAGGCATCCGTATACAAGATGTGACATTCCTTATATTTTTCCAAAGTTTCTAAAAATAGTTTTTGAACTTCTACTGGAAGTGCCATATACTTTTTATGTCTGGCTATCGAGGTGCCGTACTTGAATTAATTAGCAATTATTTCTCTGTAAACCAGACATTTGAGTTGGTTAAATTAAGCTAAGCTTTAAATCTATATTAACTAAGTTGAGTTTTATTAGGCCAAAACTTGAGATCACCCCAAGTTAAGTAAAAATTGATGCGATTTTCTATCCAGTCTCCTAAAAGTATTCGTGTTTTTAGCAAAAATTATCTCTTTCAAAGATTTTATTTATTCTTGCTCTGTGAAGTATTGTAAATAAAATAATTGCCTCAATACACATTTTATTTATGAAAATAAAAAATTTAAAAGTAATGATATTTCAAATATTTTTCATTCAAAGTGGTTGTGAAATAGTATTTTTCTCTCAGAATTTTGTCATTGAAATTGATCCGTATTAATTAGTGACAATCGCAGTGTTTTTGTTCTAAAATTTACATTTAAAATAAAGAAACCTGCTGATTTCTTCAATTATTTTCATAAAAATGTAAATATTAGGGCTAGAAAACATTAAGGTTGTCAGTTTAAAATACGGATCCATTCGTCTGACAGAGATCCAGGCGAAATATACAATTTTATAACCACCTTACATAAAAAATCATTATTTTAAATTTTTTTAGTTTTATGAATAAAATGTATACTTAGGCATTTATTTTTATTAAAGAGTTTTGCTATATCATGAAAAAACAAGAAATAAAAGCTTTCTAAGAGTTAATTGTTGTTATTTTTGGTGTGACTGTATAGAAAATCACATAATTATTTTACTCAACTTGAGCTGAACGTCAATATTTTTCCTTATAAACCTCAACTTAATTAATATGGTAAAGCTTATTAAACGAGAAAGTTTTTCTTAATGTGGAGTATCGGTAGTATACTTGGATAATGATAAAAAAAAAATTGCAAATTATTTATGACTTCTTCAAAAACAGAACTTGGCTAAGTTCAGAAGTTCAAAAGTCTTCTTTAAA